ATTTTACTTTTATATGCCAAATATGATTTTTAAGTCAAAATATGTTCAGATTTAGCATTAACTCAATTTTTATTTTTCCTAGCCGTTTCCTCCTTTTCTATTGCAAAAGTCCCATATATTATCCTAAAAAGTCTTTTTAGATACATCTAAATATTTAACTTTTAGAATCTAAAAAAATAATAAATTTATTTAAAGGTCTATTAATAATTATATTTTTATACTATATTTTTTTCAAGAAATAAATATTTTCATTTTTATTAGTTATTTTAAATAAAATATATTTGAAAGTAATAATATTTTATTTTTTTACTATAATATATAATAAAGTTCTATAAGTTACTTTTACTTTTTAAAAGATTTTATCAGTTGAAATATATAATATAAAAGTATTAATAGCTATTAAGTCATCTTTAGTTCCTTAGAATAAGATTATCATGATGAAAATTTTTAAGATTTTTCAATTTTATATAAATTTAAGATTTTCTATTTTAATAATTATGATAAGATTTAATATATTATTATTTACTAAACTTTGTAATACTTTTACAACTATTTTACTTAACTTATAAGATCTATTTATCAAGATTTAATATATATAATAAGTTATTTTTTTATGATATTTTTAATGTTACTCTTTCATCAAATAAGTTAACTATGATATAAAATTAGAAAGATAATAGATATAACTCAAATCTAAGCAATTTGATATAATATTAATTAAGGAGTTTATTTGATTAATAAGAATAAAATTATAAATTTTATGTTTATAAAATATTATTATTATTTATTATTGTTATTAAATATATTTTGAATATAGTGTTGAGATCTGTTATTTTAAAGCATTTTCATGTTTTTTATATAAGAAAATTATAATTAAAGAAAATCTATAGTAATAATTATAATAATAATACTATTAATAATAGTAACAGTACTAATAGATATGCTAATAATAAAATAAATGATAATAATAATAAATATAATAATAAGAATAAAAATAATAAATAATAAATATGTTAGAAATAATAATAATAATAATAAAAATAGAAATAATAATAATATTAATTATGTCATAATCAGCAGATTTGTTATATTTGTTAGGTTATCAGTTTTTGTCAGTTTTAATATGTTTAATTTGTCTAATTATTATTTATTTTTTGCTATATAATAGTATAAAATCTTATTTTTAATTTCAAATTAATAAAGATTTTTGATTTATACATTATAATAATTTTCTGTTTTAGATTTTAACAATAATTGATTTTTATTTGCTTTTTTTGTTAAAGAATTTTAATAAAGTGAACAAATTATATATTTTAAAACAAATAAAGCTATTATATCTTGTTTTATATTAGCCTATTTAGTTTAAAAATATATATGTGTTGCTAATATTAAAATATAAACTTTACAGAAACTTAGTTTTTTTTATATACAGTAATTATAAAGTGACTATATAATAAATATATAGTATCTAACTTACTTAATAATAGCTTAATCTCAGTATAATAGGTATTATGCAATTACTATATAGTAAGGAAACAAAGTTTCTATAAAGAAATTTTTTCTATATTTTTTTTTTAATTAAAATTGGTAATGATATAATATTATCCTAATTATTTTCTATAGATTTTTTAATACTAATTATTACTAATAAGTTTTAATACAAAATTATTTTAAACTAAAATATCATTTTGAATCATATAATAAACTATTATATCTTTATATATTACTTTATTAATAAATGCTTTTTCTTTAAATTTTATATTAAGAGAATCAGTATATTATTGAACTATTATATTGAAATAAGATTTAAAAAGTATTCTTGATTAATAACAATTGCAGAAATTAATAAAGTTTGAGGCATATTCATTTTTTAAAAAATAATATAAAAGAAAATAATAGTGAATGTAAAATTTCTGTAATTTATATATTTGTAAAATCTAATAAATTTATAAAATAAATATTATTAAATTAATAGCTGAATAAATAAGCCAAAATCAGTCTGAACTTAAATTCATTTAATAAAATATTTGCTTAGACTAATACAGACTTAATAATATAATAATTGAAACTGATCTAGTATAATAATTCATGCTATTTAGTGATGTAAAATTTAATAATTTAATAATATTATTTATTTTATAAATTTTATAAATACTAAAAATAGTGATATATTATTTTATTTAGAAATTTTTATTGTAAATAAAAAACTAAAAAAATTATTTGGAGTGAATCTATTATTTTATTAAATATAATCATACTTCACCTTTTTTTGATTGAATTATAATTTTTACTAAAATTATAAAAAATTTAGACTGAACTGAAATTTCTAAACTTATAATTTGCCGGCCTAGACTTAGCTCAGTACCTGGGTTTTGCCTGGTTTTAACACTGGATTTAGCACATTGCAAGTCTTCAAGTCAAAGAATTTAGCAAATTAAATTTTAAATTTTTAATAAAATAATTAAATATTATAAGCCAAAGCATTTAAAAATATGCCAAAAAATTTATATAAAATAAATTAAAATTTAATAAAAAATTTTCCTTGTACGATTATTCTAACATCGAGTGGAGCATTTAGTATAAAAGTCCCAAGCTTGAGACCAAGTTAGAGATGCATTAAAAGAAGATGTGAATTTATAGAGCGTTTATTTAAAGTGGTCTTACTGTAGCTATTTGACCTTTTTTAACGAAATTTTTTGCGGTCAAGATAAATACCAACCAAAATTTATTTTTTATAGTTTTCTAAAAGGCGATTTAAAAGAGTGATATCTTCAATCTTACTTTTTTTAAGAGAAAAAACAATATCTTCCAAGGTAAAATTGTTGATCCTTTTTATTTAACAAAATCATAAATAAAATTCCCAAATATGGTATATGGCGTCATTTCGAAGTAGATGTCAGAATATTAAATGTGAATGACCTGTTCATTTAAAAACCATGATCAAACTTTATGAAAAATAGACATGTTTCTGTTAACAGTAAAAAGATAGCTATGAAATTGCTAATATCCGCTGTATACTTCAAACTCTAATAACAAAGAAATGATTAAAGTATGCTGAAAAAATTTCGGATGTTATATCTAAATTTCGAAGGCGCAATTCTGATCTACTCTTTAGAAAAATGCTTCAGGAGAAAGAAAGAATAGGGCTCATCTAAATTTAATACCTATCGTCAATAGATATTTATAATGAAATTCAGTGAAATTGATAATTGTTTAGACAAATCGCCAACATCAAATTATTAAAATCGATAGCAAGCGTATTATAAATTTGAGCGTAACTATATCAGCCTTTGGCCAATCCAATAAAAGATATACGCTAATTTGTATATATTATTTATATATCGTAATCTAAATTTTTCTCTGATAATTTATTAAATGGACATAATTCTTTCAAGAAATATTTTTATTATGGAATAAGAACCATATAAAGAAGAATAAAAAGTAGCCATCCTTCAAGGATAGGCACACATCTTTTCAAAATCGCAACCAATCTTATCACCAAGAATTTCTTTAAATTTGTTCCACTCGCAATATTCACTATCACAACCCGGAATCAAAAACGGTTTAAAATCGAGTAACGCTCGTATCAATACATTATCACCTGAGCACTTATAAATTTCGAAATAAATCGTAGAAGACCAGTGTATAAGCCTAAATTCTGTAAATTTGACTTTTTTAATTTGTTCAAAGGTTAAATCTGCTGTAAGTGGGAATTTGTCTTTGAATACTCCCTGTAATTAATAAATTTCAAATAAATATTATATATTTTATAAAAAAAAATTAAAATAAAATGTAAGATTGTCACCCACCAATGTAGTTAGTATCATAGATATAGAAGTACCATGAGTGTTCTTTAGATCTGCTATCATGCTAGAATTTCCATTTAAATAATCTTCAACTCCTTTCACAAGCTGAGTGAAATATCTACAGGCAATTCGTTCATTAAGAGGATGACCATATGAAAATTGATGATAAGAGTATAAATCCCAATAGTATCGTGATAATAAAAGCTCTTTGGGGCTTAAGAGTGAACACCATGCATCTGTTCGATTATAAACCGTGAGTGAAAATTGGCAATAATTAAAAATATTTGGTACTAGATGTGGATCAAGAGGTGGGCTAATATTGTATTCTTCGGAAATTCTCTTGGCAATTGGTGCTATAGTCTTGTTACCATAAGCATATATTTGTTCTTCAAGTATTTTATTATTAGTTGCAACGGTCTCGTTCCAACGTCGACAAGCGAGGAACATAACTAATGTATCATCTTTGTTCTATTCAAGAATTATACAAGGTGTGGCTTTGTTAACTGATATGAATAAAAATGAAATAAATTTTTCTCAATAATAATAAAAAAAATTTACAAATGGTTCATTCCAATAGAATATAGGTTGACTTTTACAATTGTCTAAAGAACCCTTGCCATTAAACAATCCTTCAGAAAAGGCCATCATCGACGCACCGGTTCTTAAATAAGAATGTTATATATTAATAATCATCATTGTAAATTTATTAAAATAAAATAAATGAAATGTTTTTTCGTAAAAACTTTATTTTATAAATTATACCTTGAAGTTCAAGTACTTTGAAACTTTACAACTTCTGGATCATATTTGACTCCGTCCCAAAATTTTGCGTATCTTTTACGAGATTGTAAACCATCGAAATAAGGTTCAATTTCTCCACGTTTGACTAATTGAAAATTTTTCCTCATGGGGAAAGGATTTTTATACTAAAAAGTTTGCGGTATGATAATGTTTAGCTCCTTGTTGACCACGACAACGTTTCATTAAATTTATGATTTAAATGAGAGTTTATTTACCCAATCTTTTGCAACAGAAACATTCGCAAATATTTTTTCGAATTCATCATAAATTGTAATACTATCTGGGTCTGGATATCTTGATCCTAGTAATTTTCGAATAAAAAGTAGGGATTATTTCATGCTGTTAAATTTTATACGATGTTCACGAAATTATAAAAATACCGTGTCTAGTAACCAAGTGTAACTGTTTTAAGTCACATTTATCAGGATAACTAATCTGTTTAATGTCTTGAGCAAAGGCAGTTTGCGGAGGTTCTAGGTAAAAAAGATGGTTGTTGATAAGATATTCTCTAGTATACTTGTATGTTTTACATAACGTCGGGTTATAGGACACAAATAAATTAACGATAAATACTGTATATAGAATGTGATATATCATTATTAACTTCAATAAAATAAAAAAGTTGAAGTTGAAAAAGTGGATATTTATCTATTTCAGACAACGAAAATTTTTTTTATACGATCAAATAATATAATCGCATGAATATTTTCTTGATCAATTGAAGAGGAGTAAATAGAAAGTGAATTATACTATTTTAGGAAAATTATTATAATTAATTTCATGCTTTTTTGAAATATTTATTGTTTTTTCTTAGATTGGTATATTTTAATAATGTATGTTGATGCATGATCTCTCACCATGATTTTAATCTTGATGCTGCTGCAACTTTCCATCTCATATAAACCCACCTTCTAAAGCATTATCGATTGTTGATCTATTAAAATGTTATGTTAGATATTCATCATTTTGATTTGTTGATTCTTTACTCATTGATACATGTAGGCGTAAATCCTTTTTAAAAAAGTTAACTGAAATAGGACGAAATGTCAAATTCGAAATTAAGAACGAATTTATTTTTAGTTGGTGAAATTATTTTAAGCTTTTTTTTTATAAATAATCAGTATATAATTACAAAAGCCCAGTTAAAACTTATAATTAAAAGACCTGTAGAAATAGATAACGTAACACACAAAAATCAATTTATTTCATTGTTTACCCATTTTGGGACTTACTGAGAACCCTGAAATTAACTGATGGACCATCATAAGTTTTAGCGCCAGAAATCGGAGTTGCGTCCCCTGCAAGTTATCAACTACAATGCAATGAATTTAGATATGATTATTATTGTCATTTAAATCGGAAATTCGGACATTAACTTATTTGGATTACAATATAACAAGTGATTCCGTTAAATATGAAAAGAAAATTTGTTGCGGTAACGTTAAAGTTTGAGGGTGTCTTTAGATTTTTCTTTCATCGAATAACATAATAGGAATAATTATTTTAAGAAATTTTTTTATGTTTCGAATATTCGATTGTTATTTTAATTAACTATTGTAATACCATGATTAACAAAAATTGATGTGTTACAACATTAATGATTTTCAATTACAAATATGTGTCTAAAGACAATTTTATCCTTTCCTTAAATATAATAGATAAATGATATGCAACTTACATTAATTTCTGCATTGACCCTACTAACACATTTTTTATTATACAATTAATAGATAATAGATATTAATATAATTGTCATTCGTCAGACTTTTACTATTGTTAATATTTTCATTCAACAATGGAGTAATTATTTTTTTATTTCTTGTCATTTGGTTAAATTATTTTTATTCCCTTAAACTTATCTACTTATGGTTAATTTATTTTCTTAAGACAATCAAATAAAAAAGTATACGAATTTATTATATCATTTTGCAATTTTTTTTTTTTAAAAAAAAAATATATATATAATGTTGAGGAATAGTTTATTTCTATATAAAACCTTCGATTTTTTGATTTATTTTTTTAAAAAAAAATAATTTTAAAAAAAGAAACAAAATGATGACGTTTCCATACCGAATTCTATATACAGTATTTATCATCAATTTATTTGTGTCCTATAACCCAACATTATGTAAGACATACAAATATACGAGAGAATATCTTCTCAACAACCATCTTTTTTACCTCGAACCTCCGCAAACCGCCTTTGCTCAAGACATTAAACCGATTAGTTATCCTGATAAATGTGACTTAAAACAGTTACACTTGGTTACTAGACACGGTAATTTTATAATGATGTACAAATCTTATAAAGTTAACAGCATGAAATAATCTCTGCTTTTTATTTGAAATTATTAGGATCAAGATATCCAGATGCAAATAGTATATTATTTTTTGACGAATTGGAAAAAATATTTGCTAATGTTTCTGTTGCAAAAAATTGGGTAAGTAAACTTTCATTTAATTATTATGAATTTAATGTAACGTTGTCATGGATTTAATCATTATTACTTTTTAGTATAAAAATCCTTTCCTCATGAGGCAAAATTATCAATTGATCAAACGAGGAGAACTCGAGCCTTATTTTGATGGTTTACAATCTCGTAAAAGATATGCAAAATTTTGGGATGGAGTCAAATATGATCCAGAAGTTGTAAAGTTTCAAAGTACTCAAACTTCAAGGTTAATTTATAAAATATTTTCATATTAAGATTTTACAAACAAACATTCATTTATCTTAATAAATATATTATGATGATTTATTTAAATATAAGAACTGGTGCGTCGATTATGGCCTTTTCTGAAGGATTGTTTAATGGCAAGGGTTCTTTAGACAATTGTAAAAGTCAACCTATATACTATACGACTACACCAGTGGTAAATATTTTTTTTATTATTATTGTTAAAGATTTTTTTTTTTTTTTATTCAATCCGTTAACAAATGCCACACCTTGTATAATTCTTGAATAGAACCAAGATGATACATTATTTATGTTCCTCGCTTGTCGACGTTGGAACGAGACCGTTTTTTCCAATAATAAAGTACTTGATGAACAATTCTATATCTATGGTAACAAGACACTAGCACCAATTGCCAAGAGAATTTCCGAAGAATACAATATTAGCCCACCTCTTGATCCGATTTTCGTGCCACATATATTTAATAATTGCCAATTTTGGTTGACGGTTTATAATCGAACTGACGCATGGTGTCCACTCTTAAGCCCTAAAGAGTTTTTATTGTCACGACATTATTGGGATTTATTTTATTATCAGATAGTTTCTTACGGTAATCCTCTTAATGAACGATTGGGCTGTAGATATTTAACTCAGCTTGTGAATGGAGTTGAAGATCATTTAAATGGTAATTCTAGTATGATAGCCGATTTAAGAAATGCTCATAGTTTTACTATATATATGATACTTACTACAATGGTATGTCAAGAATTCTTTCATTTTTCCTTTTTTTTTAATTTAATTTAATTTTATACATGTGATATTCATTTGATATTTATTAATTACAGGGAGTATTTAAAAACAAGTACCCAGTCTCGGCAGATCTAACTTACGAGCAAATTAAAGAACTCGAGTATACAGAATATAGGCTCATACACTGGTCTTCTACGCTTTATTTCGAAATTTATAAATGTTCCGGTGATACCGTGTTGATACGAGTGTTACTCGATTTTAAACCGTTTTTGATTCCGGGTTGTGATAGTGAATATTGCGAGTGGAACAAATTTAAAGAAATTCTTGGTGATAAAATTGGTTGCGATTTTGAAAAGATGTGTGCCTATCCTTGAAAGTTGAGATGAATCTTTTTTTCAATAAAATCATTATCATGTAATTTTCAAGTTTTCTGAAAGAAATTTCGACTTACCTAATGAATTTTAAATTTGCAAAGAAAATTTCGGGTGTGCGAAATTTACATAACAAATTTGATAACTACACTTTATATGTATATATTATCCAATCGGTATTATGCATACACCAATGGATATTTTTGTCAATTAATCTACTTTTTATAATGTGACATGATATATTTATATTATTACAACAATTATGTTTATCAAATGTGTTATTATTATCAATTTATCTTTAACTGCATTTGTAATTGAGCAATTCAATTTGGATTTTCTTTTTTTTCGCATTAAATTAGAAATTTTTTGTTTCTTTGCTTTTATATATATATAATTTGTAATATAAATTAAACCGAAGAACATAAACAAAATTGTATCGATAAATTTCCTTTTTTATTTGTATATGTTTCATTTTCACAAGGTTTAATTGGTTCTTTATTTAAAATATCGTATGATAGTTAAGCACAGATTCTGTTTCGTAATTTATGCCATTTAACTTCTTTAGACATGTAATAAACCTAAACAAATATCTTCAGGAAAAAAAAGAAAATGTATATAGACTAAAAAAATATCATCGGTGTATAAGTCTGTTATTTGTATAAGCCTGTTATTCCAACGGATTACTTAGATTATTCAGAGTTTATATGATAATCACATGCGTTACGTTCGAAATGGTGAATTTATTGTATTTGATCTAGGGATGGGGACGACTCTATCGGTTCCGTTCCGTTTTGCGAGTCGAAGCGAGTAGAACCGATCGAGCGGCTCTGGATAACCGGTTCTGAGTGGCACTCGGAACCGAACCGACCGAGTCGACTCTGATAAAT